TCCCTAATGTACTTCAAAGAATTGATCTGAGTGCCTAGCATCATATCTGTGGAACTGGAAGGGTCCTTTCCTCTCCCCTCTCTCTTCCCCCATGGTTCCTACTACCTTGTGACTGGGAGGAAAAACAAACAGTACATGGACAGGTAGATGCAGAAGCATAGAAATGGTGCTGATGCTGCTTAAACAGAAATATCTTCTAGTGCATTTCATCTTTACTTGATAAAGTCTGTTCTCAGGTAATGACTGCAGAACTAAATTTGATTTTTTCATTGCAACATTGTGGGACATCTACATCAAGTTTGTTCTAGAAGTTACCAGAATGTAGTGATAACCTTAAAGTATATGCTAGCAATGCCTTTCTTCCACAGATCTGCACTGTTCTCAGTGTTCCAAGGAGTGTCTGGTTATCAGACATCTCCAGCCTTCTGGTGCATTGCTAGAGATGACAAATCTTACTGAGAGCCCAGCATTGCTCAGTGGTTCCATACAGCTTTGTATCATAGTCTGAAGCAAGACTGAATACTGACACTGCATAAAAAGTGCCACTTCTGATTCTTCTCATTCTGAGCACAGACTCTGAAGGAAATAATGTGTCCTTTAGTCAAAGAATATGGTTATGTGAAGCATATCTTTGAGGTAAGTTTTTTAAACTGACTTTGTACATCATTAATTTTACGTTCCATATAATAAACTCCGTTCTAGATTAATCCCTAAAGGCCAAATATTATTCCTGTTATGTAGACCTAATGTTCTTTTTGTAATTGGAAAGTTTCCTCGAGGAGAAGACAGTTTTGTAACATTCTGGAAGTCACACTTTGTGTTAGCTCTTCCAAAGAAGAAAACTGACAAAATCGCTTATCTTGTGAACTTTGGGTTGTGTACTTTCTTTATTTTTTTTTAAATTCAGTTGTTCCAGTAGAATGCAGCTGTTTCAGTGGGTGGAAAGTGATGATGTGTCCACAGAACAAGAAATGGTCCTGAAAATCCTAGCCAGTGGTTTTAACTGAGGAAGTGGACACAAGCCAGTAGAGGATTTATGTAACTTCATCTCCTTTTGTACTTGATATTAATCCCTTTCTTTGTGATATATAGCATTTTGAATTTTTACTTTTTTTTTTTGAATACTGATAGAAATTCAATGTTACAGAGGTTAACTACCCAGTTTATTTGACTAAGAGTTTATAGAAATCAGAAACAGATTGCAAACTCTTTCACTCAGCGTGAAATGTTCCAATTCCGAGAAAACCACTTGTTCCTCTGTTTAACAACTAAGCAGTTACCCAGTCCTGCTTTTCAGGAACACCCAAAGCTTGTCCTCAACATCATCAATGTTCAGAATATGTAAAGAATGCAAGACTGAGCCTGGAGCTGGTAAATTTTCCCTTGTAATATCCTTACTTTTATGTTTGCAAGTTCAGCCAAATTTTACTTGTTGTGATATGTGTTCAGCTCCTGGTTAACTCCAGCAATCTTACTCAGGATTTACACTGAAGGAATGAATTGGTCCAATAGTACTACGATCACAATGGGCAAAAAAGCCCTCCACAAGAAAAACCAGATAGAATATTAAAACCTAATGTGGATTTGAAAGAGTTAGTCATGTAGAGATCCCTCCCTCTGAGGCCTCAGATTCTTTGGCCAAGTGTTTATTTTTTGTATTTAGGATTTATGTTCAACATGTGGTTAATTTGTTTGCCCATTCCTGAAAATGTAAGGCTTCCCTTTACAGATAACCTGGGTTTTAAAAGCTATAATTTTGCAAATGCTACACTTTAGTCTGTGTGCCTTTCCCCTGCCAATTCTTTCCTTCACGCCTGTGGTCTGACTTGCTTCCAAAAGAAAAATCAGGATTGTATTATGTATCTCTTTTTCCCCCTACAGTTGGCCAGGATACTATTGCTTTTCTCCTGTGTTGCATGTGAGTGGAATAATAGCATCCACCACCCTAAAATATCATGTTGTTTGTTAATCCCGCTGTATCAATCAGGAACCTTTTCTTATTGCTCCTAAGAACTTTTTGTAAAGAATTTAACCTCCATGGATATGGAAAAAACACAAAAATCATCTTTTTAGCAAATGCATTTGAGATAGTTTTATATTTATATGAAATCCTAGAATCTGGACAATTCCCAGTTTTCTACTGTATCATAAAATAACTTTAATCATCTCAAATCAACTGACATTTAAGCCTTTCCAAGTAATTTAGGAGAGTTGTACTGTATTCTGTCAACACTACGAATCTTTATTAAGAAAACTTCAGTTTAATTTTCTTTCAAAGGAACACTTTATGGAAGACATTATTTTATGGTCAGGTTTTTCCAGTAGACACTTATTGCATAAGTCTTCTGCTTTGATGGTTAGTGATGCAGGAAATCGTGATGTAGCCTTGAGGCTCAGCCATTTCCTGTTCTCCCAGGATTGTGTTCTAAAATGCGACCAGAACTTTTAAATTATTTCATTATAGGCATCTGTATTCTTTGAGAAAATTCTTTACTTGCTAAGTGGCAGGAATTAGGTAGAGAAAGAAGTACAAAATATGTCTACATTTCCATGTTCATTTGTCGCAGCTGGAAAGGGGCATGGATATGTTCCAACGTACTAATTCTCTAGAATTCAAACAAATATTTCAGGTTCTGCTTTTGCAGTACTCATAAATTTGAGTTGTAATTACTCACAGTTGTTACAACTCCTTGCAACTCCTTCCTTAAATATTAGTAGTTGGATTTGGTTTTGGTGTTCTTGCGATTCCATTCATTGTTTGGGGGGAAAAGCAGGATTGATTCACCTGGAGATAAGAATTTACTAAACATGCAAATGCATCACAGATGAGTCTGCCATGATGGCTGCTGGAGGAATGATCTTTAGTGATATAAAAGTAGCTAAGTTCTCTGAAGGCAGCAACTCTGTACTCAGGAGAGCAGGGGTTGGTTTCAGTTGGGCTTCTCAAGAAACATTCAGAGCTAAACTAGGTTTGGAAAATTTTGATTGGTCATTGTTGAATAACTTGTATCTGAGCAGTCGTATTTATACATACCTGTAATTATCTAATCTTGACCTGAATTGAACATATTTTAAAAATTTTTTAGAGAGAATGTGAGTTATACTACAGCAGCATTTTTCATCTGATAAGAGTATATGGAGCTAGTGTAACTTGCACAGTAATTTGCAATATTTCTGCTTTTCTAGAAAACCTGTCCTTTTTAAGAATTGTCTGATGACCTTCTAAGAGCCTTTTCAATGGGAATTATCACACTTTTGTAAAATGTGCAGTAGTATTTTATTGTGTATGAGGTGGTATAAAATCACCCATTCTTCTCTCAGAGATTCCGCATAAATTGGGTTTTGAATGAGAATGAATTACTCTGAGATATGGATAAAAGGTCAATTGATATAGTCCTGAAATAGTTGAGGCAACCTTTCTGAGAGATAAGTAGACAGTTTTATTTCTTTATTTTACTGTTGCAGGAATAAGGCAGACAGAATAAATACAATCGATGGCCGAGAGAGAATTGTAGATTCGGGATTTCTTGACGCTCAAGTTAAATGCATTTCGTTGTATCCAGTGGAAGTAGAAACTGTGCAGTCAATTTAAGCCTACACTAGATCCCATGCTTCCCACAGCTTCATGTTAATTAAACTCCAGCAAATGTGCACATTGTGTTTGGTTACACAGATTCTACGAAGCGTTAAAGAACTTGAAGAATATTAATGGCTTAAAATTTAAAACTCATTAACTGCTGCCCTATTGACCAGCTAAATAGAGTTTCTCAGCACTCTTCTGGGCCGCTGCTGCTTCGTTCTGCCATGGAAATATAGAAATGGTTGTTGGCTTAGCTAAAGATGTTTGGGACTGCTGGCAGTATCATTGGGTAAGATAAAGAGCATGCCTGCTCACTAAAGCAAATCTGGTGCAACTATAGATAGTGTCACTTTTTGAGAATGCAAAGTAGTGGTTTTTTGTCCAAATGCTAGTTTAAACTTATGCTTACTGCCCGAAGATTTTATTTTTTTTTAAATTGTTATTCGGTAAAAGTGTGTGAGTGTGTGTTATTAGAACCAGAATTCTGTAAAAGCAGCTTCAGAGTTGAATCATGTTATAAATTGCTAAATACAGCTTCTTTCTCGAAATGGTAGTTCACTGCCTGAATCTTGACCCAATGCAGTGTGAACTGCAGCTTCATCCAATGAAAGGGGACCACTGAGCAAGCTCGAAGAGGCATTTTGCAATACCACAGCATTGCCTGTTTCCAAAGAAAACTTAGCAGTTTCTGATGAAACTTCTTTGAGACGGCTAAAGTACAACTCATGAAGCACATATGTAGTGAGAAAGCTATTTTGTCATGACACCTTGGAATAAAATCCTTAGAACGCCAGTTCCAAATCAGCCTCTCCGGTTTCTGACTTACACCACTTAAACTTTACTGTTGAACATCAGTCAGTCAAAAAAGCAAAAGTGTCAGCAGTTTGGACTAAATAATGGACTCTGAATTATAAATGATTATGATCCACATATTGCCTCTTTTGACCTGGACAGTCTTTTGATACCTTAAGAATAGTATTGTTTAAACAAATGTTAGTTTAAAAAGCAAGTAAAGAATAAATGAACTGAAACACCTTCTTCTCTAGCATGTTCAGTCTGTCCTAACCAGTTGATTTCCACAGTATTAAAAAAGAAAATCTTGAAACTATGAATATTTTATTATTTTTAATTTATTAATATTTATCAACATGAAAGGTTATTTGCAGCCATGCTCAGAAAGGTCTGGATTCTCTTTACCTAGAACTGAATTATTGTTCTGCCTTTATTTTGTGAGACTTTTTTTTTTCAATTCAGGGAGCAATCTGCATGTTATAAATAAATTTACTGAAGTACTGCTGAGCTAGGCAGAGAGTGTTATAAATTTTCCACTCAAAGAAAACATGAACTGACAAAACATGCTTGAGACACATTGGTTATGTATGTCTTATCTTTTCACATTCTTCTCTTGAAATTTCCCTAGATCATAGATGAAGAAGAAACCCAGTTCATGAGCAATTGTCCTGTTGCTGTGACTGAGAGCACACCTCGGAGGAGGACACGCATTCAGGTGTTTTGGACAGCTCCTCCTACAGGGACAGGCTGTGTGATTCTAAAGTAAGTATTTTAAGGCATGTTAAACTAACAATTAAAATAAAATTCAGTTAATAAGTCTAATATTTATTGGATTGAAAACTAATGGAGTTCTTAAATTCTTTTTTCTCCTTGACGTGCTTGATCAAGTTTAGTTGTACTTGCACAGTGAACTGTTAGCAATTTAAAGCCTAAATGTTCAGAAGTTACTCCAAGCCTTCAGTAAACATTGAATCAGAAACCCCAATTGAACTTGTTAGGCTCTCAACCATTTTTTTTCACAGAAGAATCAAAAAAATCTTCATTTTTAAGATCAAAATTGCATCCATCTGGCTGAGACTTGGGTAAAAATCTTAGTTGAGATGAAAAATAGGAACATTCTGTAGAGTCAGGATTTTCTGAATGGACCTTTGTCAGTAAAAACAGATCTATTTGTTTAGAGGTTAATGCTTTGATTTCAGATCTATTGATGATTTACTGATGTTTTAGTACACACTAGCAGGTGTATTCATGCTTTTTAAGCAATAGATATAGGTAACACCAGGTAGGTGCACTTTGCTTTAAGTGCACTCATTTGTCTGTAGAACTATGAAGGGTGCCAGAGAAACATTGTCCTGTCTCTTTAGACTTTGCTTGCTGTATTTAATAGGACAGATTGGTCAAATGTGCATGGACAATTGGGATTTCTTTGCTTGCTTTGAATCTGTGTCTGGGAGAAGCCTTTGAAATTGCCAAGATTTGCCCTGCAGCAGACCAAAGAATTTCAAAAGAGCCTTATCAGGACTGGGGATGCCTTTAGTGACACAAAACACGTTTAGGCTTTTAAGGAAGTGCTATCACAAAGGTTCTGCTGAAGGTAGTCCAGAGCATTCAGAAAAATGTGTTATTAAAATTGCAGTTGATTTCTGAACAGGCTGTGAAGTTGCCACCAGCAAAAATAGTCCATGACTGCTTTCCTCTCTCCCTGTGCTTCACTTCTCTGCTGATGGGCACAAGAGATAGACACCCTCCTCTTCCACATCTGTGAGGGTGATCTAGTCCCAGGTCTTACACTGGCTGTGGAAGAATCTCAAATCTTTTGCGGTTCTACTTGCTGCCTCTCAGTTTCAGTAAAATAAGTTTGTTTAAAAATCACCTGGTTTAACTTGTACTAAAGCAGTTCAAGAATACACTTACAGCCTTTTCTTAAGCTCAGCACAGACAAGTTTACATCAGGCTGCAGAAAACTGTGAAACCTGCTGCTTGCTGCATGGTGAGACAGGTTGTGTTATAAGTTTATAGATGGAATTTTTCAAGAGTCCCTTTGGCAATCAAGAAGATTCTTGAGTGTTTCTAAGCTGTTTATCAGTAAAGCTCCCTGGTCTTCCCCTCAGGACTGCTCCCCTCTTAGCTGCATAACAAATGTTGCTTGAGGCGCTTTACTACTTAAGTAAAGTAATAATAAGGTGATGATGTTTTATAAAGCCTTTAAAAGAGACAAGATTTAAACTTTAATCCAGTAATGATATGCAACAACACAAACTGATGGATTTTTTTCCCCCATTATTGTCCTAAGTAGAATTGCCACTACCAAAATAAATTAACACAGACCTATACTTTTCTCACTGAACTGAAATACCTGTGGCTGAAGTTGGTTCAGGGGCCTCCCTGGGTCTTGAATGCAGTGAAGTACCACCAACTGCAGGATCTGGATAAGTGTTTCTTCTCTCTCCCCTCTGCTAGTCAGGTCATGGTGGATGTTCAACACTCTGATCTTTTTCTGTGCAGTATTTGCATTCTTGCAGAAAAGTCAAGAGAGGCTCCAAAATGCAGTTCTGATGTTCTACACATGAAAGTAAAAATTGCTGCTGCCCCAAGGGATGAACAGAGTAACTCAGTGCCTTACAATCTTCCCAGACTGCTGGCAATCCATCAGCAGTGCCAACAAATCACTGAAGTACCAATATAGAGTTAGATTAGCTGACTGACACTGGTTTCCATGATCTGTTTGGGAAGCTAAAAGAACATCCTGGAAATTTAGGTTCGTGGGGAAAGGAGAATTTTGGTGTTATGACCACTTATTTACAGATGGGCCTTTGGTGTCTATGTGCTGCTGAAAAGTGAAAGGAAGTTAAGTACTTTCCAGTAAAAATTATGTGAAAAATAGAAGCTTCCTCCCAATGATTGCTTTATTGACCTTAGAGGATAAATAATGACTTTATTCCAGAGGACAGTTCAAAGAAAAAATGAAACAGTGACCATTACTAAGAGCTGCTGATGCCAGAAATTAACATCATAATGTGGTATTTGTTGGTGCTGCAGTGCAGTCCTCTGTGGCACCTACATAGCAATCACTGATGGGGTTTTAACACTAACAACATTTACATTTTCTCTTTTGTATGTAAAGCTTTGATGGCATATGAATTAGAGTTCGCATTCAGCATTCTTTATAAACCTTCTCTGTGGTCAGCTCCCATAAAATAGCATGGACATGTTGGATGCAATTTTCATAATTATTCTATATGATAAAAACAAAAGTCTAAAAGCAGTTATTGTTTTAAATAGTTAAGTCCAAACTCACCATGGAAGAACTCTGAAACCTTGAGCTTCAGAGGAAACAAACCCTCTGTATTTTTCTCTCTTCTATATGTGATGGATGTGCAAATATTTTTTTTATTATTATCAACACATATCTATTTCAATCCTTGGATACTATGATACTTTTGTTTTAGAATTTCCTAAACAGAGTGGCAACATTTTGGAGCCTGTTCTGAGTCATAAGAATATTCTTTTTCGCTATATCCTTTTCTACTGGCTTCAGTATGTAGAAAAGTTAAATGTAGTCACAAGTTAAACATTGTCGATCCATAAAAACTTATTACAGTTTTCGTGCCAAATAATGGGTGTTTTCTAGATTTATAGTAGTATAATTAAGGATAGAGTCTTCCAGGAAGCTTTTCCTGGACTAGTACTGAGGTCTGGGAACAGCTATTTTTCTGCAATTTGTGAAGTCTGATACCTTTGATAGCAACACTTGACTGCTCAGATTTGGCTAGTAGTCTTCCCAGTGCTTTCCAGGCATATAGTGCATGTGATCAGTTTTTGGCTGTGACAAGCATAAAATGACACAGAGAAATGCTAATCTGTACTTCTAGAGTTCAGTAAGAGATGCTAAATCATTTGGCATGAGCACATGTGTGTGTAATCCTACCTTTCTGGATGACTGCAAGAAACAAAGTTTAGGAGAATAAGCATATTTGAATTTGACTTACTGTCACTATCTTGCTTTCTAAGACATCTCTTTCTGTGTGGAGACTCAGAATTGGGAGGGAAAAAAAAAAGAAGGAAATGGATTAACATATGATGTTGGACTGTAATTGCTTAGTTGAGAATAATTCATTCATTCTCTTCATTCCCAATAAGTGAGGACAGTGAAATACCCTAAAGGTTCAAATCCTTCCAGACTCTGCTGAACCCACCAGTACCAAATGTGCTCCCAGGATGCAAACAGTGTCTGAGGCTCCATTTATCCACACACTTAAGCCTAGGCTTGAGTTGCACTGAAGACACAAGATAAAAGACTTTGCTTATATGTTACACGTTGCTTGGGAGACCCTCAAGCTTTAAGGCCTCTTTCCACTCGCCTGAGGTATCCTCAGAACACTGTGCAGCTAAATCCAATTACAGGAAGGTACACAGACACTCCAGCACAGCGGTTCTTAAAGTGATTTCTGCAGATGGATGGACTGGAGAAACATCCTATCGCTTTGGGGAGGGCCCCAGACTCTGCAAGACAATTTTAAGCAACTAGATTTGGAGAATGACCTAATGGAAATGGAATTCATTGTCATCTGTCAGACAGCACAGTCAACCCCATCACAGCGCTGGGTACTTGAATAGAAAGTTTTGCTGTGTGGGATGAAGTTATTAAAGATAAATCAACAGAATGCACTTGGATCATACTTGGCAATAAGGATTCACTTGGCTGCCTCAGCATCTGTGCCGGCTGCAGAAGCTGCCCAAGTATCAGCATGAGCAGGAAAGTGCTTATAACTATATCTTTCTTGCTTCTCTGGCTAAGGTTATCTATTTCAACCCTTCCAAGCTGTCATGCTGTGCTCAGTCTACTTGTTTTCATGTTCACAGCGCAACGTCCTTCTATCCCTCTTTTCTTTCCCCTGTTTCTTGTGATTGCCACATGTGTCAGTATGGGAGGACCAGGTCATTTCCTTCATCCTCTGATAAAAGTTTCTGTTCTAAAGTTTATTCACTAGATTTCTGAGCTCTTCAGAATGCATTTTCTTTCTAGAATCTTTGAAAACCTACCGCTAAAAATTTCCTGGGAGGTGTTTGTGTTTATTTTTGTGATGTGAAATTTATATAAAAAATAATTACATAGACAATAGAGCAATGACAGAGCCTAGTGGTATTTGTACCATCACATGGAAGTAGAGAAACTTTCAGGGGTTTGAACCCTCTCTTGATCAATGTTTTTGTATTTTATTTTCATGAGTGAAAACTTTTTTAACTTTTAATCCCCCTCCTCCTTTTTTCTGCATGTAGACTGTTAAGCTTGGTTTAGCATATTCTACTTTTCATAAATGTAGAGCAGTACACATGCATTATTTTTATCTGACAGCTGATATTCAGAGACTGCTGAATTCTGTAAAAAGCAAAACAACTACTGGAGATTTATCTTGTTTAACAAGGAAAGTCTTAAATATTGATTTTGAATAGTGATTTACATCATTGACCAAAAAAAGGACAAATGTTTATTGAAAGTTTCTTAGCAGTGATGAAGAATAACCTCTTTTAAATTACTTTGAGCCCCAGGTTTCTAGATTTGACTGGTTAGTTGTATTCCTCAAGATAGTGTCTTAGTTAAGTCTGGTATAGAACAGGTGGGTAAAGGTCTGACCCCTGTAATTGATGGGAAATACAGAACAAACAGTTTTCTGCAAGTCCTTTAGAATTCTGCAATATAGTACAAGAGCGAAGAAAATTTTGTAAATTGTCTTAACTTGTTATATATTAAAATTTCATGG